AACAAATTACTCTGTAATCAAGTTTCCGATTCGTACGTGAGAAAGTCAATTTTTAGCTCACATCTGAACATAACATATATCTTTTTGATGAGTAAGATATATGCAGCAGTTGGGTATCTTTATTCTTGAAACGTTTCGCCCATTGTAGGTTTCTTCAGTTAAATATTTTATTATCTTTCTATTTAAGCTGTCTTAGCCTCTAACATACCACCAATTATATAAAAAAATCAGCCGATTTTGCCATAAATTTGCCGGTTTTGTCAGTAAATCAGGGAATCTTGTCACTAAATCTCCTAACTGAATTAATAAATTGTCCTAAATTATTAAATTGAGCATAGTGGGCAACCGGTTTTATTAGGTCAACAAACTGTGACAATAAATTGCTCGATTATAGCAATAAACTTCACGGATTGTCTTAATAAATTGCCTTTTTTTCTCTCTATGACTACCCCGTTCTCTCAAGCACCAGATTTCTGTTAAAAACTTATTGATTTTGTCAGAAAACTAATATTTTGGATCAATAAAGTACCATTTTGGATCAATACAGTATCATTTTGGATCAATAAAGTACCATTTTGGATCAATACAGTATCATTTTGGATCAATAAAGTACCATTTTCGATCAATAAGCTATAATTTTGGATCAATAAGTTACCATTTTGGATTAAGAAACTACCATTTCTCGATCAAGAAACTACCATTTTGGATCAAGAAACTACCAATTTTTGTCAGTATTCTTTCCGATTCTGCCCAAAATCTTAAAAATCTCATCAAACATCGTAAGTAAACTTCCAGTGTATAAATTTACTATATTGTTATTTATGATAAACGAACCCTATTAAAATCGATCTTATATGCAGAAATGTAAACAAGATCGTGTTTGCCATAATTATACATTTTAATATAAATATTTAAATTGCAAACGATATATTTTTGGAAGATTTTATGGAAAAGATCAGGAAATTTTCGTGTTTATGTAAAACGCTACGACAGTGTCGGTGTGGTGGAGGCTCGATCCTCCGTCCTGTAAACACGAGGAGAAAGGGTGGTAGACAAACTGTAAAGAAAATGAAGAGGAACAATACGGAGGAGCGAACGAATGAGGTGGTAAGAGGATTCGTACATACATATATACATACATACATACATATATACATGCATACACATATACATATATACATACATACAAATGCGTACATATATTCATTCATATGTACATACATACTACATACATATGTAGACAGGTAGATAGAGGATAGATTAAACTGAGGTATATGCACTCAGATAAGAGAAGGATAATGAGAAATAAAAATAGACAAATAGTAGCATTAGAAAGAAACGATAGATAGATAGACAGAGAGAGGAGAGAAGAGAGAAGAGAGAGAGAGAGAGAGGAAGAGAGGAGAGAGAGAGAGAGAGAGAGAGAGAGAGAGAGAGAGAGAGAGAGAGAGAGAGGAGAGAGAGAGAGAGAGAGAGATGAGAGAGAGAGAGAGAGAGAGAGAGGAGAGAGAGAGAGAGAGAGGAGAGAGAGAGAGAGAGAGAGAGAGGAGAGAGAGAGAGAGAGAGAGAGAGAGAGAGAGAGAGAGAGAGAGAGAGAGAGAAAGCAACTGATAGCCTCAATTAGGTTGTGGCGATGCAGATAATTCCCCTGAGCACAGAATTTACTGATCTGATCGTCAAGGATGCAACTACGGCAGGTTTTTTGCCGCTGTTCTTGCTATTCCTTCAGCTGATGATCAGAATTATGTCCAGTTCTCGAGATTCCTTGGTCTTAATACATAACAGCCACATAAAAACACACATATCCATGTACTCACCCACACATTCACACACACACACACACACACACTCACAAAAGTACTTTCACGTACACAAAGATTTACATATACACGCACACATACGGTTACTCAACTCTGTGTGTAGTTACAGGAAATAAAATAAACAAAGGCTCTTCCTCTAACTTCTCACTGTATTACGCGTTATTTTTTTTTTTTATAAATTTACATGCCAATTATATCGATGATTTTTAATTGTGTAACCAGAATTTGAGCTCAAGAACTTCGTTCAAAAAGTACACATTAAACTCATTAAAACTTAGATTAACCCAGAGTCAATCTTAAGTTTATATTCAGCAAGTGCGTGAGTGAAGACTGACGTACATACAAAGAGAGATTCTCTAAGAACGTTATTATATATACAGAGTAACGGACGCAGGTGTTCTGCATGTTGTTACTAGCAGTGTTAATGTGTATAATGTGCACAAGTCTAGAAGCAATGTGCACTTGTGAGATATTAGTAATAAAGTTGGTAGAATTACCGACAATGTGTAAAGTAAAAGGACACAAGTGCAACTAATGTGACATTTATTGTGGCAACGTTTCGCTCTCCAGGAGCTTTATCAAGCCATTAGTTGCACTTGTGTCCTTTTACGAGATATTAGTAGCAAAGAATTTATGTCGCATTAATAGAGTTTTTATAGTTACTAAAACTCATTGGTAAGTAAGTAGAATGGATAAACAGTGACGAGGTGTGGTGTGGTCGTGACGAACAGGTGTGGTGTGGTCGTGACGAACAGGTGTGGTGTGGTCGTGACGAGCAGGTGTGGTGTGGTCGTGACGAGCAGGTGTGGTGTGGTCGTGACGAGCAGGTGTGGTGTGGTCGTGACGAACAGGTGTGGTGTGGTCGTGACGAACAGGTGTGGTGTGGTCGTGACGAGCAGGTGTGGTGTGGTCGTGACGAACAGGTGTGGTGTGGTCGTGACGAACAGGTGTGGTGTGGTCGTGACGAGCAGGTGTGGTGTGGTCGTGACGAACAGGTCTGGTGTGGTCGTGATGAACAGGTGTGGTGTGGTCGTGACAAACAGGTGTGGTGTGGTCGTGATGAACAGGTGTGATGTGGTCGTGACGAGCAGGTGTGGTGTGGTCGTGACGAACAGGTGTGGTGTGGTCGTGACGAGCAGGTGTGGTGTGGTCGTGACGAACAGGTCTGGTGTGGTCGTGACGAACAGGTCTGGTGTGGTCGTGACGAGCAGGTGTGGTGTGGTCGTGACGACCAGGTCTGGTGTGGTCGTGACGAGCAGGTGTGGTGTGGTCGTGACGAACAGGTGTGATGTGGTCGTGACGAACAGGTCTGGTGTGGTCGTGACGAACAGGTGTGATGTGGTCGTGACGAGCAGGTGTGGTGTGGTCGTGACGAACAGGTGTGATGTGGTCGTGACGAACAGGTCTGGTGTGGTCGTGACGAACAGGTCTGGTGTGGTCGTGACGAACAGGTCTGGTGTGGTCGTGACGAACAGGTCTGGTGTGGTCGTGACGAACAGGTCTGGTGTGGTCGTGACAAACAGGTCTGGTGTGGTCGTGACGAACAGGTCTGGTGTGGTCGTGACGAACAGGTCTGGTGTGGTCGTGACAAACAGGTCTGGTGTGGTCGTGACGAACAGGTCTGGTGTGGTCGTGACAACTATGTCTGTGGCGAATCTCTGATATACATCGCCTTTCTTATTCTGCTATTTACAACGAACATTAGTATTTATTGAAGAGATTTGCACGCGTGTGAATGTACTTAGTCTTCTACATGTGATTCACTGAACTATTCCTGCCGGGAAACGAAATATGTTCGAGTGACCTGAAAAGTTACACCACACTCAGCAGTTTGTGGGGAAAAAAAGGGCAGCCGAATATAAGGTTACAGTTGGCTACAGGACTCTGTGGGGTAGTTATCCTGGTTCTTTAAAGGTCATCCCTCACATCATGCCTTGGTGACGCTTAGAGAGCGTTATTATTTATTATGAGTAGTAGTAGTAGTAGTAGTAGTAGTAGTAGTAGTAGTAGTAGTAGTAGTAGTAGTAGTAGTAGTAGCAGTAGTAGTAGTAGTAGTAGTAGTAGTAATAGTAGTAGCAGTAGTAGTAGTAGTAGTAGTAGTAGTAGTAGTAGTAGTAGTAGTAGCAGTAGTAGTAGTAGTAGTAGTAGTAGTAGTAGTAGTAGCAGTAGTAGTAGTAGTAGTAGTAGTAGTAGTAGTAGTAGTAGTAGTAGTAGTAACAGTAGTAATTTCATTATTAGTGGTAGTAGTAATAGTATTATTATTATTATTATTACTATTATTATTTTTGCTGTTTTTGTTATTGTAGTTGTTGGTGTTATCATCATTCTTCAGTATACCATGAAAGGAGACACCTAAAATGGTTGTCTCTTTTTGCTTTCTTCTTTTGCTCTCCCAGGATTCTGGGCGACAACCTTAGTAATGCTGGTATAATCTATTTTTAGGATTGGTTTTAGTCAGTGTAGATTCAAAGTGCTCAATTTTTGCAAAAATAAAAATAGGGCCGTTATGGTAGTGCTATCACTTGAGTTTCAAGTTTGTGACTCGAGTAACACTTACTGAAGACACTGACTGACAAGCCTGACCTTACTTAACCTAACCTACCCTAACTTAACTCAGACCGACAGGGAAGTCTTAATTCTAATCTCCTTGCTCTTTTCAATTCTTCCTTTCTTTCTCTTTTTCCACTTCCCTTTTTCAGGAATATTTATTGTGTGGAAATTTATTTTTTCGACCGTAATATAAAGCTCTCTGTTACAGAATCATTTGGTTAAAATATCTTCAAAGCGAGACTTCCAAAATTGTTTGTCATGATGTTAAATTAGAGAGAGACTTCCCACGTTGTTTGTCATGATGGTAAATTATAGCGAGATTTCCAGCGTTGTTTGCCATGATGGTCAATTAGAGCGAGACTTTCAACATTATTTGTCATGGTAGTAAATTAGAGCGAGACTTTAACGTTGTTTGTTATTATACAAATAAAAACATTTCAATTATAAATGCTACACAACTTAAAGCATCGATCCGGGTAGGCCATTTAGTTTCCCCGTCAAGACTGATAAAGGATAAGGACAAAATTTATAAGATATCAGAGAAAAACATGACAACAGCAGCCTCACAACAAATGTGAGAGATGAAAGATGATCACGTAACATAAACACAGCAATCCATCAAACTCTAACCTGAGGTCTGGGAGAAGCTCTGGCGAGATGAATCAGCAGCACCAGCTGAACCAGTATTATTGATGAGTTAGGCATCGTAGAGCTGCAGGATCGAGAGCTGGAGCAGCAGCAGGCGCAGCAGAAGCAGAGGCAGCTATGAGAGCAGAAGTAGCAGTATGATCAGCAGGTTTGGCAGCAAAAGTGAAAAAGTAGTGTTGCGGTTTAGGGTGGTGTGTGTGGTGGAGGGTTCAGTGTGGCATCTCGTCTCCTCACTGATGCTGACAGTACGGATGTTGACAGTATGGATGCTGATACGCTCGCCGGCCTACGCTCTGGCTGGATCATCTTTCTCAGCGCCCCACACTTACGCCTTGGCTGTTGTCCTTACAAGTTCAGCTTGCCAGTTGTTCAATAATTAATTTCTTCTATGCTTTCTTCGTGATTCAGTAAGCATTAGTTACGCATTTTTTAAATATCTAGAAAATTTAGAGCAATTTTCGCGTGGAAAGGTTGTATTAAACATTAATGGGGCTGGCATGACACTACTACGAGAGAGACACGGTGTGGCAAAACACACGGGACGAGAGCCACACTATGTGGCACCAACACACAGACAGACACTAAGGAGAGCGTGTTGCCGCTACCAGCACTGGGAGGCGTGTGTGTGTGTATGTGTTAGGAAGGCGTGTGCTCCCTCTGTCTCTCTCTCCCTTTCTCTCTCCTTCTCTCCCTCTCTTTCTCGTTCTCTCCCTCTCTCTCTCTCCCTATTTTTCTCCCTCTTTCACTCCCTCTTTCACTTTCGCTTTCACTTTCACTTCCACTTTCACTCCCTCTTTCACTCCCTCTTTCACTTCCTCTTTCACTCCCTCTTTCAGTCCCTCTTTCACTCCCTCTTTCAGTCCCTCTTTCACTCCCTCTTTCACTCCCTCTTTCACTCCCTCTTTCACTCCCTCTTTCACTCCCTCCTTCACTCCCTCTTTCACTCCCTCTTTCACTCCCTCTTTCACTCCCTCTTTCACTTCCTCTTTCACTCCCTCTTTCACTCTATCCCTCTCTCCATCCCTCCCTCTCCCAATCCATCAAGCGTCCCAACCCCAACACTCCCTCTCCCCAGTCTCTCTCTCTTCCTCTTTGTTACTCTCTCCTACTTTCCTCGCAAATTTCTCTTCTTATCCCGGATTTCTCGTAGCAAGAATTTTATGAACATTATATCATCAGACTAGACTGTCTCAAGGAATTTATTCTCTCTCCGATACTTCGCTTGCTCTCTTAGACTCTTTGATGATGCATTCTCAGTCTCGTACACCATCATACTTATTCTTGCTGCCAGAACTCACACCTTTAACTTTAGAGTTCAAAGAAATTATCATTCCTTACAAAAAAAAGAGTCCAATAGATTAGATTATAATCGTAAATAATAATCACGATATATTAACATATAATAATTAAAAGGCGCTAAACTCAAGTGGGTCATTCAGCGTAAGACGTGGTAGAGGCTTGATCCTCAGTCTGCTGATCGTGAAGTTCAGGAGATACGTTTGTGTTGGTCCTCCTGCCACGTCTTATACAGGGACTTCTGCCAACTTTTTCTCAGTTATCAAGCTGAAACAATAATGGAAACTCGTATAGGTGATCTTAGACATATGTTAACACATTTACGAGTGTAGACACTTATAAACATGGTTAGGAAACACTTCATACACTGCAGAACGTAAAGTGAACTTTAGACACTCGCATGTACACACGTTTAGCTACGTCTAGGCATATTTAGATGCATTTAAAAAAAATATAGTCACGTGTGGGCAAATTACGAAGTTTCAGCTTTGAGTATCTAGATTCTAGGCGATATCTAACCTTCACTTGTTGGGCTCATGTGCTACGAGGACATCCAGCCTCTGTATGTTGTGTTCACATATAGTGGAGACATCCAGCCTTGACATGTGCTCACAGGTTATGGAAACATCCGACCCTTACATGTTGTGCTCGCGTGTTATGAGGACATCTTATCGAAAATCAATACCTGAGTGAAATGCTGCTACTGAAGATGTTTGGTATTCGCAACGTTTGTAAACACGTTTGTCAGCCTCCAGGATCCTACAGCAACTCCAGAACCAAGAATGCGAAGTTGACTTCCCCTCTCTTCGTGCTTTCCCAAAATTTCACAAGAATATAGATAGCAATGCTGTAAAAAATAGACATATGTGCAACTCTTGAGTCCCTTTATTACGGGGACTTTTCTCCAGCCAGTGGCTTTATTAGTCCAATACAGCGACTTTTTACTGGAGACATTGAAAAACGTGAAATAGTTTGAGGTGATCACTCCCAAAGCCTTATTAAGTGGTGTTTGTGTCATCAGGCTAGAGGGATCTAAAAAAATTTCTGTAATGAAAGTGCCCACGCGTTGCACGTGTCTTATTCATCTAATTGTCGCTTTTGTACACAGTTAATAAAATAATGATGTAGAATTTTGAAAAAACACCCACCTGGCAAGAGAAACACGGAAAAAATTAAGTTTGCTTAAACAAATTCCAAGAGGCTCATTTTTAAGCAAGTCTGTTTAAGAGGACCTCTTCCAGAGATCAAAATATACACACTACCCCAATTTTTCTGTGTTTCTGTCTCCGTTTTTTCTTAACATTGACAGATGTTCATTACACTTATTGTTATTCATTCTTTACAAAGTACACATTTAAAGTCCTCTACATGGGGGAGACAGATCTCCAGACAACAACCCGAGACATAACAGAAGAATCCTGGATAACTTGGAATACTGAATAGTAGAAGTTTCATCGATGGTGGAGAGTGCAAGAATTGTGAATAATTTAGGCCGAGCGTAACCATGAAACACACTGAGCCACCCAACTTTCATTCATAGTGCGAGAATTGATTTTAAAATATATTTCTTGTGATAACCCTCTCAGGGAATAAGTATCCCCTGATATACATGATATGCCTATATATAGAAATTGTAAAGTATCTACTATCGTAAATCCAGTTGACGAAGCGAAGTACAAAAAGTATTCTATGATGTATATGAAGGGGGAGAAGAAATCTACATTACAGTTATACATTTGCTATTAATAAAGGGAGAGCCACGAGAGCGTTTCCACTGAAAATTAAGATACATACTACAGCAGTCTGCTGCTGGTTTAAAAAGTTTGTGTTGGCCAAAAATCTCTGAGTCAGTAAAGCTGCAGAAGGAGGTTGAAATAGAAAGTCTGGCAGCATTGTCTGGCCTCCAAATGCATTCTCAGACATTTCTGCCCTCCCTGGCCCGCTCTCCAGGGTTCATTCGCCTGGGTTCGTTATCGCTGGGTTCGCTCTCTTGCTCTCGTTACCCACGGCTCGCTCCGTAGCGTTGGTTCCCTCCCTTATATTCCTGTCCTCTCATTTTCATTTTTCTTTCCCCTTCTCTTACTTTTCTCTCGTTCCTTCCTTACCTCTCTAACTTTTCTATCTTACAATCTCACTATAATTTGTAATCACTGTGTCTAGCTCCAGTTCGTATCCTCATATGTACTGCCCTTATCATTCGCACGTATTCATTCCCATTTCCTCGTCACGCCTAAGGTGTGTATTACAGCAATGAAACTCACGAAATCGTAATAACACGACTGTAAAGAAACCGCGGAACGGGTTGGGTTTGAACCCATGGCGAGTGAGCTGCCTTGAGTTCAAACCAAACCAGTTCCGTGGTTACTAATGAAACTGTGTATATATATATATATAAATTATATATATATATTTATATATATATATATATATATTATATATATATATATATTATATATTATATATATATATATATATATATATATATATATATATATATATATTATATATATATATAAACAATCGCAAACGGGTGATCGTGTAGTTACACATAATAGGATAATTTATATGAAATTATTGGAACATATATACAAAAGAATTTTGGTCATAAATGAAGTAACAGGATAGGTCACTTAAGGAACATTAAAATAAGGTAAAAATATATAAAAATAAAGCTGGGTATATAAGGATTGGACAAAAATAGTGTAAGTTTATAGCTGTGTAATGTGAGGAAGGTTGTGGTTGTGATAGACAATGCTATAAAGTGTTACTTGATGAGATTATTAACAAAAAAATGACCAATGTTTTTAGTGGTAATAAGAGATTGTAATTTTCTTAAGAGGACATCCACATATTGCAGTCTGAAGAACCTGTGACTATGTAAAATGTCTGTAATAATAATAATAATAATAATAATAATAATAATAATAATAATAATAATATAATAATAATAATAATAATAATAATAATAATAATAATAAAATAATAATAAATAATAATAATAAAAAATAATAATAATAATAATAATAATATAAATAATAATAATAATAATAATAATAATAATAATAATAATAATAATAATAATAATAAATAATAATAATAATAATAACAATAATAATTATAATACTAAAAATAATAATAATAATAATAATAATAATAATAATAATAATAATAATAATAATATAATAACAATAATAATTATAATAATAATAATAAAAAATAATAATAATAATAATAATAATAATAATAATAATAATAATAATAATAATAATAATAATAATAATAATAATAATAATAATAATAATAATAATATGAGTAATATTTCCTTAATGATAATTGACCAATATTATATACAGTATATGTAAATACTATTTATCTGGCTAAGTTAGCCAGCTCTGAGTATGTCTATTAAGGTGCAACTATGCACGGTGGAGTCAGTTCAAGACCGACGAGCTGCGGGTGCACGATAAACTACCCACGACTTACGAAATCGTAATGACACGATTGCAAGCAAGCCATACCAGGGTAGTTTTTTTTTTTTTTAAACTACCCAATACTAGCCTTAAAATTCACATTTGTGTATAAAGGCTGCGTTACATATTTTCTCACTTCTTGATATTCAACCCGTTTTCCTAAATCATCTTACGGATGATTTTAAGCAAATTTCTCGGTATATGTAATTTAGGTTAAGTTAGGTAAGGCTAGTTTAGGTTAGATTGTCGTCTACAGGCAAAATGTAATGAGTGATAATTTAGCATAACGCTATAATGCGTTAATACGGTAATTTTTTATGACGAGCACAAAACGGAGATTCGTCGATCACATATTAATATAGGCAATCACATAATACACAAATAACCCGCACATAGAGAGAAGTTTACGACGACGTTTCGGTCCGACTTACACCATTTACAAAGTCACATAGTCTGACTTTGTAAATGATTCAAGCCGGACCGAAACGTAGTCGCAAGCCTCTGCTTCCAATGTGCAGGTTATTTGTGTATTCTTCCAGTCACGGTATTTTGCCTTTTTCTTCTTCATCAAATAACAAAAGTTATCACTCCGGCTTCACAGTCACACATTTGACGTTTTTAGCAAAGGTGGCAGCCTAACGTTCATTAAGAGTAAGAGTTGTGATAGCTCTGAAATCCCCCACTCCTTGGTGGGGGATTTCAGAGCTTGTTAGGGATTAGCCACAGTAGTTGAGCAAAATACAGTGGGAATCCAGACTGAACAGAGAACACTCTCACACAAGACTGATTAGAAAATAAACCCAGGATCGGATTAGGATTTTTTTGGACACCAGAGCAAGCAACTTATTCTTGAAGGCACTAGGACAATTTGTTG